GGAGCTGACTCCCGAGATTGTCGCCAGCTCTGACATTCTGTACTCCACCCGTGTGCAGAAGGAGCGCTTCACCGACCTCTCCGAGTACGAGCGTCTTAAGAACACCTTTGTCATCGACAACGCTCTGCTCAAGCACGCCAAGAGCCACATGGTTGTCATGCACCCCCTCCCTCGCAACGCCGAGATCTCTGAGGAAGTCGACTTCGACCAGCGGGCTGCTTACTTCCGCCAGGTATGTTTTGAATTTCCCTTGCTTTCTTGAACAATTTACTAACTATATTACAGATGCGCTACGGCCTCTACTGCCGCATGGCTCTCCTTGCTCTCGTCTTGGCGCCATGAATATAAAACTCTTTTGCCATTATAATTATGTGGGAAAAGGGAATTCAAGAGCGCCATGGATTTACGTGAGACGTTTGTTTTTTCCTGTTTGAAAAGTTATGTTTTTCGATACTCCGTACGCAGCGTCAATAAATCGCTGCATAGATTAGATGAATTTCCGTTTCATTTGACGGTCCCGTTCAGTGTATGTCTATATTTCTATGTGTGTATACTATGTGTTATGTGATATATGTGTGTTATGTGTTATGTGTGTTGTGTGTTATGCGTGTGTCGTGTTTTGCGTGTTTTCCGTTTTGGGGTATTTCGGGGTATTTTCCGTTTTTTTTCTTTTCTTGGCATTTTCTGGGGTTTGGGACTTGGGACTTGGCGACTTCTTGCATTTTATATACCCACTCTGACAATGTAATTTATTAATTCATCTGAGCCCGAACTGCTTTTCAAGTTTGGAATACCCAACGAGGATCCTTGTCCCCTTGGAATTCTCCATCTGCATCACCCACATCTCCCGTTAACAGTCTCAACCCCTGGGCTTCCCTAAGACGCTGCTTTTCAGCGTTTTCCCGTCGGAGAACCTGCCATAGGATCCCAACGACCACAATGTTGGCAACCAGATATCCCAAAGCAAATCCATGACCCAGGAAGTACCGCGGGCTACTCTCTGTTCGGTATAGCTGTGTTCCAAGGACCGCACCCAGATTGCCAATTGAGATCTGCATGGCGTTGGCAATGCAACGTTTAGTCTGGCCAGACACATTATTAGCAGGCCAAGACAGCACAATAGCCACAGCTGGGTAAATCCCTGCCGCAGCGAAGATGGTTCCGACATAAGACACGCCCGCACGGTGCTGTGATAGCAGGAGAATGTATCCGATACATCCAATAGCGGATGATCCCATGATAAATGGCGCGCGGCGGCGAGTCTTCTCAGAAGCAATTGCGACGCCAATAGTCAAGACGAACGCCACTGCGTACGGTGGCACTGAAAGTAGCTGGGCCTTTGCGGCTGAGTACCCGAGCTCTTTGATGATCGTCGGCAGGAACAGCGATAAAGTATACAGTGGCAAGGACATCGTGTGGAATCCAAGTCCGTACAACCAGACTTTGGGGTCTTTGAATGCATCCCGTACTGCCGACCAAGTGAATTCCTCATCCCGAGTGGCATCGCTGTCATTCTTCAGACGCAACTGGATGAACTCCCGTTCTTCCTTTGAGAGGAACTCGGCTGTTGAGGGGTAGTTGTACACCCAGAAATAGGCGATTATCGAAACAGCAATGGTCAACAGCCCTTCCTAAATTGATTGTAAGCTTTCTGTGTTTGCATAACAGAATGGCGTAGGTGATCGGGACGTACTAGAATGAAGATCCATCTCCAACCATTCAAGTTTCCCACCCCTTTCATGTGAGATATTGCCTAGGGAACCGTTAGCTGTGGTTGTCTATCAGAAGAAGAAAAAGCTAACCCAAGCCAGGACACCACCAAAGGCACCTGCCAGTGAGGCAGCACTGAAAAACAGAGCCACGCGATAATGTTGTTCGTTCCGCTTATACCACATGGACAGGTAAAACACCACACCGGGGAACAATCCACTCTCTGCAACACCCAGAAAGAATCGTGAAGACAGATATCCAGAGTAGTTTTGTACAACTCCCAGGAGTGTGGCGACTATTCCCCAGGCGAGTGTGAGAGTCGGAAGCCATATTCTCGGGGTTGTTTTCTTCAAAATAATCTGAATGCAGCTGTTTAGTATATAATAATTTGTACAGGATAATTTTATTAATAGGCATTGCTCACATTGCAAGGAATCTCAAAAAGAACATAGCCGATAAAGTACAGAGTCAGACCTGTAAGGTACTGGTTTCCTGCTATATCTCTCCCAATTAGCCCTAGAGCCGATATGAAAACACGAAAAACGTACACATCTTGATGTCGGTCGTCATCCCTTCTAGGCGGGCATTTCCCACATTGCTGCGGTCCAAAAATGAGAGTAAATAGAGTAACGTGAGTGGCGGCAAAAGACGATAGTCCAATTTCCGTAACAAGGCCATCTCGTTGATGGCCTTGATACTCGAAGAACCACTGGCGTCGCTCTCGGTGCCAATGCGCACATCGTGCTTTTCTGAAGTAGTCATTGTGACTTACAGATCAGTCTTGATTGAGGCTTGAATTAAGGCTATGATATATGAAGGGAGGGGAAATCGGAGAAATATATATCATCTAGCACACCATCCATTATCCCCGCAATAAAATGTTCTTCCATAGAGACAGCGAATAAGATGACTGATATAAGAAGGGAATGAGCAATATTGGGGTTGAGATGACGAGATCGGATTCCACCTGAAGATCGGCAAGCGGCATAGATATTGCGGGTTCTTCGAGTCCGAGGTATAGAGTTCTTGTTCCGACTATAAGTCTATAGAGATTTTCATTAGAAGGCTGATATGACGATTGAAGTACTCTATGCTGTTAGAAATTACTTTGAAGACTGCAGATATGATGTACTATATTGCTTAGTTGGTATATTTGCTTTCTCATGTCTATATTCAATCTACAGTATTACTGTGGGAGTGTATGTTCGCTAATTGACACGCTTGGATATCTCTTGCCCTTCTTCAGCTCATCCCTTACCCGGCCAGTAGTTTTGTACAATGACCTTCTTATTCACCTTGCCCATAGCATTGCGCTCGATCCCATCCACAACCTTCAGAACGGTTGGGATCTTATAAGGAGCCATCTCCTTCTTGAGCTCAGCGCGTAGAGTAGGAAGTTCCATCGGTGTAGTCTATGCGACTGTTAGTTATGCAACGAAGAAAGTCTCCCATGCATGGATACAACGCAAACATACCCCTTCTCGGAACTTGACAACTGCAGCGACTCGCTGGCCCCATTCTTGATCGGCCAACCCGACTACTGCAACTTCTTGAATCGCATGAATGGCCAGCATCTTGCGCTCGACTTCCAACGCCGAGACCTTATATCCACCGGATTTGATCAGGTCGACAGAAGCACGGCCTTGGATGAAGTATGCACCGTTTGAATCGCGTTTAGCAACATCACCGGTCTTGAACCATCCATCCGCTGTGAACTCCGAGGCCGTCGCTTTCGGTTTCCGCCAGTACTCGCAGAAGACATTCCCGCCCTTGATCTCGATCATGCCGTCCTCATCCACTCCATCCACAATCCGACCGGTTTCTTTATCGGTCAGTCGTACCTCGACGCCGGGCAACGGCCACCCCACACTGCCATCAATTCGCTTTTGGGCCTCCAGCCCGCAACTGAGCGCCATGCCTATCTCGGTCATTCCATACCGCTCCAATAGAACCTGCCCGGTGATTTCGGCGAATTTTTCTTTGACGGGGGTGGGGAGAGCCGCGGATCCGCTGACGACAAGCCGTAGAGCACGAGCTCCAACCCGCGCGGCATCTTCTTGTTCCGTGCCGCGGATATGAGCATCGAAGTAGTCATTCAGACGGGAATAAATGGTCGGCACAGCCATAAACAAGGTTGAGGAGCCGTGGTCCTGCCACCGTTCCCAGATCACCTTCGGATCAAACTTGGGATGCATCTCCACTGTCGCACCACTCAGGAAACTGGCAGCCAGGCCATTGATGATACCGTGGACGTGGTGCAGCGGTAGCACGTGAATAAGATGGTCTGAGGGAGTGTACTCCCAGGCCTTGACCAGACAGCTCGCTTGGAAAGTGATATTCTCGTGTGTTGTCACGCAGCCCTTGGGGTTTGATGTGGTTCCAGAGGTATAGATCATCAGGGCGCGGCGAGTGAGCGCAAACGGTGGGGAGAAAGAAGGTAAGGTCGGGGTCTCATTTCGAGAAAATGGCTCTAGTCCTATGAATGGTATATCGGTGGTGCAACCTTCGCGCAGCGAAGGTGCGACCTTCTCGAACTCTGGATGCACGATAATCAATGAGGGGTCCGAATCTCCGACGGTGTATAGCAGTTCTTTCACTGGGTGGCTTATGCCTAGTTGAATGTCAGTGTTGAATACAAGGTGTTTCGCATTGCGCTTTCGCTTTATCGTTTCCACCTACAAAGTGGAACGCAGACACCTCCTGCCGCCCACACGGCCCATTGCGTAGCAACGTAGTCATATCCATTCGGAACTAAGAAAGCAATGCGTCGTTCTTCCAAATCGCCCGATAATCCCAATTGCTCGATTATGTGCTTCCTTAATGCTGCTGCGTCGGCCAGCAATTGAACGAATGTGAAGGTTTGTTGTTTGGTGGTGTCAATGATCGCGATCTTCTCGGGATTCTGGCGCGCATGCTGCCCCGCTGCTGCGAAGAGGGGTAGTGAAGGAATCGGCATATTTGATTTGACTGTTCGATTCTTTGATAGTTTGACACTTCGACTTAAGCATAAACCGCATGGAGAATGTAGGTATAAGAAACTGGAGGTCACGTCGAAGAATATGAGGAACATGCGGGATCCAGATGTTCCCCAAGGCTGTATTTAGCCGATTGCGGAGAAAACGCCCACGTCCAGTGTGGAGTAGAAAATACATAGAAACAGAACAATAAAATGTTTCAAATACTTAGAAATTTAACATAGTTAATAACTAGTGGCATACTAATGAAAGTCAGTCACTCGGTTCAACTATATTCGCCTATAACATTGAATGTTGTACGCAAGTCTTAGATCTTCACCTAACACTGTTGAGATCAGCATTCTCCCATATATTCTTCTTTCCACCCTTCAAAACTAGGTCAAGCATGGCTCCAGCTAAATCATCCAGCTTCACGGACGGTCCAAGACCAAACACAATACTGTGTAGACTCATACCCCGCGCCAACACCATAGCCGGGCGCACGATATGAGCCTCAAAACCAGGGTGATCATCGGCGAACCCCAAAAGTTCATTCTCGACTTGGCCCTGCAACTGGTCAGTGAAATTTCGATGGTTCCACCAAGGTTCTCGTACCCGAATGTGCCGATACTCCTGCATAAACCAGAGCGGCTTATTCTGATCCCTCTCAGCGGCAGCGCCGCTACAATATAAGAACCGGAACGGTTTCTGGCACGTCTCCCGGAAGACTTTCGCTGCTGCAAGAGTATAGTCCAGACTCACTCGTCGAGCGATATCATTGTTAGGCATGTGAGCCTTCCCCAGTGTCCTACACAGAAGAGAAGTCAATATCGCCTCATACAGAGACTCTTGGCAGTAGGTTCATACCAGATACATGCCTCCGCATCTCGAATCTCATTCCGGATGGAGTCAGGGTAGGTCTTGAAATCCTCAATTAATGCGACTTTGAGCTTTTCATGTGCTGGTAAGTCTCGTCGGCTGAGCGCTACGATTGAGGTGATGGCAGGATGTGCAAGACATTGGGATAAGACTTCGCGGCCGATGAACCCTGTCGAACCTGTGAGGATGACCTTCATCGTTCATACAATGGTTGTTCGGAGTCGACGGTGAGTGACGCGCGAAACAAGGGTCATGGGAGCAAGTCGGGCATAGCATGTTATCTCCGTCTGCCTCGGTTTTAGGGTGAGATTATAGGTCGTTAACGATTATTTGTTCTGCCTAACGTAATCATAGAGTGAATTCAGAATCAAGGTCGCTAATTCGATATTCAATATTCACAATAAATCAACTATAACACGGACCCCGGGGTTGGTGCTTGTGCCAGCTCGCCCGGTTGAACGGTACGTGGCCCGTCAAGCGACCCTTCGCCATTCTCTTCCAGCCCACGAGCTACCAAATCTGTGAAATCAACACCCACTTCAATCAAGAGAGCGGCATGATCGTGCACAATGTCGAGGCATTTCTGCCAAACCGATGTACCACGCTGCACGCTGCTAAGCTGTCGGCTGAGCAGGGCATTGAACCCGTCGAGGTGATGCTTAGCCCAGCGAATGCAGGAGCTGCTCATTACGCTGGGGAAGCATTGTTGATAGATACCGATGGTGTTCTTGATAAGGGTAAAATAGACGTAGGAGATCTGGAAGATGTAGAGAGGTAGGTCACCTTCAAAGATACAGGCCCTAGGAAAGTAAGTCAGCATGTAAACATAAGCTTGTGTGATAGAGAATGAGACATACCGGATGCGTTGGCCGATCACGTCCGAACGTGTGTTCAGATAAGTCTCACGTGCCTGATCCTCGAACCCTAACCGAGTCAACCAGGTAACGTGAGTCTTGGTAGCCACCGGGAATGAGTGATTGTCGACCAATGCTCGCGAAAGAATGCCAGCAAGCCGAGTAGCTCGCCCGTCGACCTTGAAATTGATGACGTCTTGTGCAATGGTGTTGCCCTTGAGACCCTTGGCCAATTTCCGTAGTCGCTCGATGCTGAGGACAGACGCCTCGAATCGCTGAAGCGCAATATCGATATCAAGCTCGTCCACCTGCCCTTCAACCCAACGGAGGTTCTGTTGCTTCCCGTCCACATCAATGCGCAGATCAGATTTGTCTCTTGGGGATTCGGAGAGGTCGAGAGGCTCTGGCTTTTTCGAATGGGAAAGGTGCCGACCAGCCATATATCCATATGCTTCTAAGGGCTTGCTGGCCGCTTCGGTCTCCGAGCGCATGGTTCGACGCAGGTCCTCGACTGCCTTGCGGAAAGTTGCCAAAAGTTCCTGCTTCGCTGAAAAGTCGTCATGGCGATATGTAAAGGGCTTGGATCCCACGCGGATGCTGATCGATCTCCCAATGCCCCGATCCAAAGCCTCTTCGCGCGCTTGTCCCGTTCCCAAATTCGCCCCGAGATCAATCATATCAATATCGTTAAGAAGCCAGCAGTCTTCTGCAACTAGCCTCGTTGGAACAGGCCCTCGGTGGTTGGGGTGACTTTGGTCGACCCGCTTACGCTTCTTCGCAGCCACAAGCAGGTAATCGTTTAACAACACAATGTGAACAGGCCGTCTTGGTTTCCAGGTGGCTGAGTCCAGCTCAACCCAATTACCAGTTTCTAGGACAATGTGCCGTCCTGGTGCAGCTGGAAGCCACTTCTGCGAACCTTCCACTGTTTTCCACAGCGTCTGTAGCTGTACGCTCCACATGCTCTCGAGGTTGGCGACCGAGCTGCGATTCGCATTGCGTTTTGGGAAAGAGTCCTCCATTGGTGACATGGGATTAGGTGAATTTCCTACGCTTGTTTGTCCAAGCGCCGTTGTCAGTTCCGCCATGAGGGTACGGAGGGTTCGCATTTCATCCTTGAGTTTCTCTGCCTCTTTACTGATCTTGATGAATTGGGTGCGATTCTGATAGACATTTTGCTGGAGATCGGTGGACGTTCGGTTCTTGACTTTGCGTAGGCTTTCTTGGTACTTTCGAATATCTTCCTCGGACGCATTGGCAAGAAGACTGGCCACATCTAGCATCGGAAACTCCTGGTTAGCTTTAACAAACCCAAATCGACAGGCTAGGGAGCACTAACATCGATCAACTGGAAGACTGGGATCTCGCAGAGCATTGAGGTCGACTTTCGGTGCTGGTGAGTTCGGGTCCGCGGGTGATGGTATTCTCGGAATAGCTCCCGGTACTAATCCGCCCCGCCCCCCGGGCACCTGAGTTGGAAGTGCCGGAACAGGAGGAGCCTTGCTATCAAATTCAGGCGCGCTATTGAACCGAGTCGAGTATCGCCGTTTCACCAAATCCGATGTCGCATCGTTCTGGGGTGCCCGCTCACGTGTGGGGATTGCGGATGGGCCTGACTCGGGAGATCTGGTGTTGGGAGGTAGAGGACCGGAGATGGGTTTGGGAGCGCTAATCTGAGGGCGCTGCCGACGAGACTTGCTCCTGAGAGTCAATCCTCGGCCTTCCATGGTGATTTCACTTGGCAATGTAGCAATAATCAAGGAATGGAAACGTCGCGGGAGGTCAAGGGGATGACGCTCGGGCTGCGGGTATGATTATATAATACATAATAGGCTCCGGACATCTCGAGATCCTTGAAACATTTTTATCACCCAACAACACTCTACCACTATCGCCTCTTCAAGTCCCCGTTCGCTGCCAGGCCGGGACAAATTCTATACCTCTAATTCGATCTCATCACATATCTTCACTATGGCTTTCCGAAACACTGCCATCGTGGCCGGCACGATTCTGACGGGAGTTCTCGGTATGTAGCATTCGTCTCGCCGCGTTCTTCAATTATTAATCCTTTGTACTAGCCTACGCCGTTTATTTCGATCACAAGCGTCAAAGCGATCCTAGCTTCCGCAAGTCTTTGAAGAAGAACAACAAGAAGGTCGAACAAAGCGTGAAACAGGAGGCAGAGGCCGGCGCCGCAGCCAGGCTCGCAGATCTCAAGAATGCGCTCGAACAAGTGAAGAAGAACGGTGAACTTCCAACAAATCTCGAAGAGAAGGAAAGCTTCTTTATGAACCAAGTCGCATTGGGCGAATCTCTTTGTGCTTCGGAAGGTAAATTGCATCCATTGTGTCATCCTATCTCGATTCCGAAAGGCGGGATCGAGATATATCGGTTACACCTCAAAACCGGAATAAACATATGGCTAACTGAATGTCCAGGCTCCCAAGTTGAAGCAGCAATTGCCTTTTGGAAAGCATTGAAGGTCTACCCCCAGCCTCAGGTAAGTACAAGCCACGTCTGATTCCACCTATCGTGTTCTTCTTCATCATCTTCATGATTCTAACTGCTATGATTACCCAGGATTTGATCGGAATTTACGACAAGACCGTTCCCAAGGAGACCCTCGAAATTCTCGCCGAACTTATCGCACTTGATGGTCAATCTACCGGCGCCAAGACTGGCCCCGACGATAACATCGAATAGAAAACTGGACCTGGCCACTCGACAACTTGTATTTTAGACAGATGGAATTCTCAAATTTGTATCACATAATTTATATCGCGGAGAACTATTATGTTCGTTGCCCAAGAGCCTTGGGGAAGGAAAACAAAAAGGGTGTGGATGAAGACTACCATCTAAGTTGGACGGACTGATGGCGATTCATTGCCAAATATTCGATCGGATGGAGCAGAAGCGATACCAATCTAAAGCTACCTCTCTCCTTTGGCTTCTTTCTATCCTCGAAGGTATATACACGTTTCAATCTTCTACCCAGGAAGACATCTATAGACTGGTCGATTGTTAGAAGAAACTATGAAACGCTCTTTCCTTCGAATCCTAGCTACGAAACATTTGAACATCAATCAGAAAATGATATTCATAGTGATATGAAGAGGATATTTCGTGATTCTTCGGTTTTGTGGCCATCACAACGGTCACGTAAGACAAGGAATGTCCCTATTTGCTTGTGGATTAGGAAGATGGGATGAGGAAGAAGACGAAGCCAACTCAATTGAGGTGAGTGGAAGAGGCAACCTTGGAAGCGAGATGTCAGTATTCTCAATGGGATTGGTCCGGCGCTCCGCAGAGCTAGCTACCGAGCTACCTCCCGAGGTCTGCTGTACAATACATTGCCAAGACATGCCTTGACTCCAAGGGTTTTGAATTTCCATAGGTCAGATTCATTCCAGTTTATTGGAAACTGTCAAGATTGCTGAGATATATATATAGAATGAGAAAAGGCAATGGAAGTATGAAGCGAATAAGAAGTTCCGAATCAGGCAGGTGTCTGTTTGACACCCGAAAAGCAAGGCCACTATTTACAAGCCCTAGCTCCATTTAGGCATAGTTACTAGTAATATCACTCCGTACGGAGAATTAACTTTCTAATAACAGTAACGACAGACTTGGAGATTTCTGTTGTCTATGCCCCTTAATGTAACATTTCAACACAGCCCAGATAGCCCAGTTCGCCGAGACGTGGCGTCCAAGCAATCACTATTGAAGGGCATCTTGGCCCTGAGTGGGATTCTTGGCCGGACTTGGCCCACAAGTTCGTCTTGGGAGGGAAAGGAAGGAAAGTGGGAAGAGAAAAGGAATGGACTTTTAGTCTTTTTGATTTTATAAATGTAATCGTATACCCGAATAGTTAACTAGTTTGTATATTTAATTTTATAATACTATGTACTACTGCCATGAGTACTCCGTACATACCAAGTAGATAGTGAAACGACGATGTGAAACCTCCAAGACCCTCCAAGACCCCCTATTATTTGTTCACAGACTGCCGTTCTCCACAAAATTGAGACCGCTGATCAATTGGTTCTCTAGAAATTATTTCAAAGTCATTTAGCCCGTTTAACCCATTTAAGGTCTCTAATCCCTCTATTCCTCATTGATTCCTCTCTTTTTTCTTTTTCGTTCCAGTCGTTCCTTCCCAATTCGCGCCGTTGCGCAGTCTCTCGTTATTATCGTAGCATCTTATCCATCTCTCATTATATCGTCTCTCTACATATTTTTGTTGATTTTCTATACCCGCTTGATTTTACAATGATCGTATGTGCTGTCACTCTCTAGTATGACCGAAAGCTGACCTTCTAGTCTTACACTCAACTCTTCGCATC